AAAACACAATCAAGTATTAAACAGAATGAAACGATGGCAGCATTTTATGTAAGCCTAAGTATAATATGATATCGACCATCATTTCTACTATTTCAATTAAGAGCCATAATACTTCTCCAATTTTCCTTTCCTTCCTACTACAAGTGATTATTTCAAAATGTGGATACTCTGTCACATTTTAAACCACTGAACCGATTTAGATGAAAGGTATACTCGTAGGTACTTAGACATAATTTAATAGCCAGGGGAGTTAAAAAGTTAACCCCCTGGTTTTTTGGAAAGAGAACACGCGCGTGGTAAAGATTTTTGTGACCGACCAAAATGTTTTTTTTTTTCAGAGTGTAAAGAATTGACTTAAGCAACTAGTAGGTATACTAACTACTTTAGATACTTACACTTAAAAAAAGAAGAATTGAAAAAAAAAATGAATGCCCTTCGATACCTAGTTTTTTTATGGCACAGGAGGCAAACAATACCGAAATACCGCTTGTTGTGGTCATAATACTTAATAATACCTACCCTAGATCAGTGTTTTTCAACCTGTGGGTCGCGACCCCCTGGGGGGTCGCGACGCCTCTATAGGGGGGTCGCGAGAGGTCGTAAAAACTACCTCAGTAAAAAAAACAGTAAAGGTTTAAAGCTAGATTTATCCGAAATCTAATTATGCAAATGCTTAAATGTTGTATAGATTGAAGAATTTGGTGCCTACAACATCTTCGTAAAAAGGCATGAAAAAAAGCGAACGGTCGGGGGGTCGCAAAAATGTTTTTTTATGCTAGGTGGGTCGCGTCATGAAAAAGGTTGAAAAACGCTGCCCTAGATCAATCAAAAGGAGCACGTTGTATTCCAAACATCACAGGAATAAGTAGGTAAGCCCAGTAAACGCGTGTTTCAGGTTTTTTCAAAATTCATCCCTAAAATGGGGAAATGGGGTGACAACGTCTGAAAGTCAACATGGGTAGTTATTTATATGGTTTATCGGGTCGATTCGACGAGAACAATTTCTGTGAAAGAACGAAAACGCGAACGGAGCCGCGGGCAAAAGCTACTTACTTATAAAAGTATGTTCATAGTAGGTACCTACTTAAATTAATTTTAATAATTTGACATTTCTTAAAGTCTTGGCTTGGCCCAAGACTCTTGGGTAATTAAGTATTTAATGTGGTTACTGCATACACGTATGTTCCCATTATCTACAAAAAGGGTGAACTGGGTGAAAAAGGAAATGGAACATGAAAATGTGGTAAGTACTTAGTACCTAACTACTACTTAATTATCGTTATTTTATTTTATTTATAAAGTTCATTAAAATAACATAGGTAGGTTACTTACTCGTACTTACTACCTGACTTCCTGGCAAACTCATATTGATATTGTACCTAAATAAATCTTACCTACTTATTATAAAATTTCAAAAATTCAAATTTCTTTATTCTTCCAGGTGTTTTTAGTTTTACATTTCTATATTGCGATCGAGGAATTCTTTTAAGTAAATAAATACTTGTGGTAGAAAATTCCCGCTCTCCATATTAATTTAACATTAATCTATATATATAAAAATGAAACCCGTTTCGCGTTGTCACGGCATCACGTGTGAACGGCTGAACCGATTTCGATAATTCTTTTTTTTTAATGTTTGTGGAAGTCCAAGGATGGTTCTTACGGAAAAAAATATTAAGAAAATCTCTACGCTAAGGCGGTACGAAGTTCGCCGGGTCAGCTAGTTGACAATATAAATATAATTATGACTTTAGATATACACCACTAAATTTTTATCACCGAAAAAAAAATTATGGGTAATGTGTTATTGATACTGATCCCATTTGTGCAAAAAAAGAAGTTAAATAAAGTGACACAAAATTTCCTCCTAAAATTGGTAATTTATGGACACACCCGTCGCTAGCACTATTTACGTACGATAAATTGTAACACTTATTAAAATTCAAAATGGTCTAAGATAGCTAAGTATGTAATAATAACACTGGAAGCGTGGTCGAGGCGTGAGCGAGACAGACAGATCGATGCATCGTGCGAGCTCGTATAAACTACTCTAGCGAGCAGCGGAGTGACAAAGCTGTGACGCGTAAAATACGGACTAAAGAAAATTTAATAAAAAAATTAACTTTATGAAAAACATTTCTTTTTCTTTTGCTTTATATTAAATATTTCACACGTTTCTACATAACCTGATAAAATTTTTTCGGTGATAAAAATTTAGTGGTGTATATTATTTTTCAGCCTATTTTTATTAAATTAAATAAAATAATATAATAATTAATTAATTAAATCAATTTAAATATAAAAAAGAAAAAGTAATTTATTTCAGGTCTTGTTACACGATATAAATTAGTGTTCAAAATTCCAGGGTGCAAGAGTGAGTTTGTGAGAGCAAACGGTGTAGCTATGTGTGTGTTTCCAAAATTGATTTGAAAACATACATAACTAATTGCTTGGTATATTTAACAGAGCGTATCGTTTATTTATTAATATTACAATATTTTGTAGAATATCGATACTTTTCTAGAGATACCTACCTACTATTTTCAGCTTTCCCCATCCTCCTCACATAAATGACTACATTAGTACGTTTATGTAGTTTAATGTGTCGGATCATAATAGACATTCTAAATGCTTACGATCTTAATAACGTGAACTTATAATTTGTACGCGGCAATTAGAGTTAAAATTCGTTGACACATGTATTCTTGGAAGAAACTTTGTCGCTTTGTAATTAACAGATAAGATCTATATTAGTAGAAAGCCGCTATATTATGAGTACTGGTGAAACTCGTTGAAGGTAGGTACATAAAAAAGGTAACAATCCTTTTCATAGTTGAATGAATTTGCTATAACTACCTACATCGGCAGCATGGCTTACCTATTTAGTGACTGACGACTTTTGTTTCTATTTTCTAAAAAGCCTGCAATGTCCTGAAAAAATATTTATACAGGGTGGCCCAGAAGAAAATTCACTTTTGTAAATTTAAGGAAACGAAAACTGTACATTTTTGTAGAACTTTAATTATTGCAATTTAAAGGAAATTTCATGCAATTTATTTTTAAATTTACTTCCTTTTTAAGATTTGATCGTACATGTGATTCCCTTGACATTTACAACATTCGGTCAACATGCATAAAAATTTTGGAAAACTTTCGTTAAAGTTACCTCGAAATGGATTCAGGATGGATGAATGCTGAAGAGTTTTTGGATTATTACAGTATACACTGCTCATAACGTAACCCCACAAAAAGAAGTCTGCTGGAATGAGATTAGGACTTCTTAGTGGCAATGAGATTTCACCCCTTCTTAATTGGTTTGTTGCATCGAAAAGATGATTAATTTTTGAGAGCGCTATACTAGCATGCTGAAAAGCTTCTTGATTTCAAAGTGGCATGATTCACAAGGCTATGATAGGAGCACTTGGTTTCATCAAGATGGGGCTACATGTCACACTTCAAATGAGAGCATTTAGATGGTCAGAGACATGTTCCCACAAAAAAATAATTTCAGGCAGGTGTGACATCTACTGGCCACCAGAAAGTCCTGATCTCACCCCAGAAAACTCTTTTTTGTGGTGTTACTCTAAGAATAGAGTATACTTTTATAATCCAACAACCATGCAGCAACTGAAGCTGAACATTCGTCAAAAAATGGAAAATAAGTTTTGAGGTAATTCTAACGAACGCATTTCAAGATTTTGATGCATGTTGATCGAATGTTGTAAGCGTCAAGGAAATCTCCTGGATGATGTAATTTAATAAAGGTAAATTTAAAAACAAATTTCATTTCATTTTCTTTGAATTGTAATGAATAAAGTTCTACAAAATTACACAGATTTTTTTCCTTGAATTTTCAAAAGTGAATATCTTTCTGGGCCACCCTGTATGTACAACTTACCTACGCAATATTTAGGTACGTAGGTCCAATCATTGGTCCCTTGAAATTTTGGAAATCAAGGGAGTTCGACTTTCTAAGCAATGCAATGGACTACTGAGGTTTTCAGTTTTGAATCTATCAACTCAACATGTTGGTTGTTGTTAGGGCAGCCGCGCACTTTGAACATCTCTTCCCTTATTTTTATTTTATCCACAACGAGGAAGCTCTTCGCCTGTATCTCAACTGATGGTAAGTGATGATCAGGCCGAAGGTGGAAGCTAGCTTCACCCGGAATCCTCAACCACAGAGGAACTGGCTATCTTACCTCTAACTGCCGAACTGAATCGAACCCGGGACCTCTGCGTCTGAAGCCGGTGGTCTTACCACTAGACCACAGAGGCGGTTTGTTATGGCGACAGACTTAGGTAAGATGGTGGTAGCTAGCCAGGCGGGTCCTATCGTATTGTGGTAACAAACCTAGAGTTACTTACCTAGTGTTAATCTGTCAACGTTTTACTCGTGTATGAGCGTTGTTGGCGTAGTAGGTATAATAAGTAGGTGGAATTTATTCGATGCTATTGGTTTCTTCTGTTTCATTCGGACGCGAAATCGCTTTTCGTCCGTGGACTCGTGTTCGATCTCGGCACAAAATAATATCGGCCAGTGTGTGACCCTATGGTTCCCCTCATCATCATCATCATTTCAACCATAGGACGTCCACTGCTGAACATAGGCCTCCCCCAATAATTTCCACAATGGCCGGTTGGTGGCGGCCCATGCTACCGGCCGTCAGTTCTGCGTACTGTAAATGCCCTGCCCATTGCCACTTTCAGCTCGCTAATCCGTTGGGCTATGTCAGCGCCCTTAGTTCTTTTACGGATCTCCTCATTTCTCGATTCAATCTCGTAAAGAAACACCTAGCAAAGCCCTCTCCATAGCACGTTGTGCAATTTTGAGCGTATTTATAAGGCCTTTATAAGTGAAGATCAGAATATCACCAAAGAAATTCTACAGGTATTAAGGTATTACTTCACAATAGGTTCAGAAATGATACAATATTTAAAAAGAACAACAATTTTATTCTTAAAATATAACAGTAAAATTATATAAAAATAATGTATTATCCTAAACCAAACTAAACATTAAATATTACCCAGAATCATACTCATTAAAAATGTTAGAATCCATATAATCTGAAGAATCTTTTGTTTCAATGTATGAGGTAAAAAAACTGCCATCTGTGGCATCATAGTCATATTTACTACAGGTACAATAGCATACACTTTTGCTACATCCTCTACACTTATGTGAATGTTTTAATGTTATTTCATCAGGAAAATCACATACTAAGAAATCATCTAAATCATATGCATAATTGAAATCACTCTCAGGTTCATAGAGATATTTATTGATGTACTCATCTACATCTTCAAAAGTAGATAGATGATTAAATACTAGTTTTTGCTGTTTAGTCAATACCTTCTCAAGCATAAATACTAAATGATGGTGGTAACACTGGAATGTGATTTTTTGTTTATCCTTATTTTTGAAAGTCTGCCACAACTTTACACAGCTAAGTGGAGTCCTGTTCGCTCCACTAAATAGAGCTGGATTCGTTAATATACCACTTGCAGCCATAACACCATTACATTTAGTGGCATTGTATAAGGTGTCTGCATCTTGCAAGGTCTTAATACCACCATTTGCAACCACAGGCACCTGCACAGATTTACACACTTCTTCCAAAGCAGCAACATTAATACTATCACCAGTTTTTTGCTGCGGAGTACGTCCATGTACAGTCAAAAAGGTGACTCCACATTTTTCTAGTTGTTGGCATAAATTTATAGTTTTTTTTAAATCATCCAACACTCTTATTTTAACTGATATGCTAAAATTAGGAGATAAGCTATTTTTGACTTCTCTGACTAAATTAAAAATTAGGTTTGGTTTAGACAATAAAGCGCATCCATAACCATCTTTCATGGCCCATTTTTGTGGACAACCACAGTTTAAATCCACTCCATCAGCATAAGGATAGATCAACTTGGATGCATCAGCAAAATCAAGAGCGTTGTTTGCTGCAAACTGAACTATCAATGGAGAGTCACTCGTTGTTGTGGAAAACTCATTAGTCCGAGCTTTTGAATTTTGGCAGAACGAGTCGGCTAATATCATAGGCGTGAAGGTAAGTTCAGTGCCATAGCTGAAACAAAATAATGTATTTACAATTCATTATACTTAAATTTATATCAGGTTTTCTTTCCATTATATTTCATCATAGATTTCCATTATAGATTCAAAATAAGATCTAGTTCAGCAATAAAATAGTAAGAAGTGCATTGAATTTACGGTGATAAACTACAACACTTTTAGGTTAGAATACATTACCCACTTTTTTACAAGTGTTCTGAATTGAACTTTACTGTATCTGACCATTGGTGCACATATTTTAACGTAAGAATTATTCGTCTTAGCTTCATCGAATAATTCTACAATATTTTTCTTTAGTTTCATGTTTTTTACTACATGAGGAGCTCTACAACACAGATTACATATTAGTCTCCTCTACAACAACAACATCATAAATCTGACATTTTATGACTAATTGACACAAGACATTGACAAGAATTATCACTGACGTATCCATTGTGGTAGGAACATGAAGCTAAAGATAAAAATGGAGGGCAGAGTTGGAACAAAAACTTGAGTCAAATACCTACTTATATCTATCTCGCTCTCTGCGGCCCTACCTCTCTTTTTAGTGTGAACTGTAGTATTGCTATCTTCTGAGTTAAATCTCCTTGTAAATTCTTCGAAATAGCCAATTCTCTAACCAAATCAGAAGTTACACAAATAAATAATTAATATTTGAAACTAAGATTACCCCCTTAAATTGTTTTTGTCCGTTTTAAAGGACATGTCAAATAATTGCTTACAGAATCTAAATTAAAGCAATTTATCGACTTTCGAGGGATATTTTATAAAAAGCATGATATTTTATGTGAAACACGAGGCTGCAGTTCAATAAAAAGCCGCGAATTTTAAAAATAAAGACAGTTGAATAAATGCAATAGCAATGTCAAGTTTTCACTCTTGATAAATGTGGCAATACTGTAGGTATTACACTTGTTCTTGTGCTTTATTGATTGATTTTAGAATATTAAAGAATAAAACTGACGGTTATTGCCAAAACTGTAAAAAAATATCGATTTTTTTCCATTCATTTCAAGGTTACAAATGTTATGTCACTTAAAACGGACAATGCCATGTGTCAGTAATAAATACTCATGTTGATTTTTAGACATTTTTACCCAATTTCCCCCTTTTAGGGGTTGAATTCTGAAATAACCTGAAACACGTGTTTATTCATTTATCGATAGGAATGTATTCTGTGAATTTTCGAATTAAATAGTGCAACTAATTTTGTTTCGCCCTACAAACTTTGGACCCCCATTTCACCCCCTTAGGGGGTAATTTTGGAAAAATTCTTTCTGATAACACCCCTAGACCCTAATAAGGAACCACATGCCAAACTTTGTGTCTTTATACCCACCGGTTTCGGATTTATGTTGATAAATCAGGCAGTCACTTTCTGTTTTTGTATGTCAGGGTATTTTTTGATAAATTTATGTAAAATCAACAGTAAATAGTCCAGATGAATTGCAAAAGGCGCTGGATTAGCCAGAGGATGATTATCAGGGATTCCTGTATTGTTATTAAGAAAAGTTGTTTTACGTTTGTTTTTCTAAACTGGCAATGTCCGTCCTAAGTGACATGGTTGTAATGCTAAATAATTGGCAATGTCCGTTTTGAGTGACATGTCATAACTTCTATACTAATTGAAATTTTTTCAAAAAGTGAATATTTTTTTCTTAATCTATCAAAACAATACCTAAATCCCAAATTTGACCATTTTTGAAGCAAGGGTTCAATGAGTGCCAATTTAAGGGTTAAAGGTTTAGACAATAAAGCGCATCCATAACCATCTTTCATGGCCCATTTTTGTGGACAACCACAGTTTAAATCCACTCCATCAGCATAAGGATAGATCAACTTGGATGCATCAGCAAAATCAAGAGCGTTGTTTGCTGCAAACTGAACTATCAATGGAGAGTCACTCGTTGTTGTGGAAAACTCATTAGTCCGAGCTTTTGAATTTTGGCAGAACGAGTCGGCTAATATCATAGGCGTGAAGGTAAGTTCAGTGCCATAGCTGAAACAAAATAATGTATTTACAATTCATTATACTTAAATTTATATCAGGTTTTCTTTCCATTATAGATTCAAAATAAGATCTAGTTCAGCAATAAAATAGTAAGAAGTGCATTGAATTTACGGTGATAAACTACAACACTTTTAGGTTAGAATACATTACCCACTTTTTTACAAGTGTTCTGAATTGAACTTTACTGTATCTGACCATTGGTGCACATATTTTAACGTAAGAATTATTCGTCTTAGCTTCATCGAATAATTCTACAATATTTTTCTTTAGTTTCATGTTTTTTACTACATGAGGAGCTCTACAACACAGATTACATATTAGTCTCCTCTACAACAACAACATCATAAATCTGACATTTTATGACTAATTGACACAAGACATTGACAAGAATTATCACTGACGTATCCATTGTGGTAGGAACATGAAGCTAAAGATAAAAATGGAGGGCAGAGTTGGAACAAAAACTTGAGTCAAATACCTACTTATATCTATCTCGCTCTCTGCGGCCCTACCTCTCTTTTTAGTGTGAACTGTAGTATTGCTATCTTCTGAGTTAAATCTCCTTGTAAATTCTTCGAAATAGCCAATTCTCTAACCAAATCAGAAGTTACACAAATAAATAATTAATATTTGAAACTAAGATTACCTAGTTAAATAAAAAATCACAAAATTGTCGGCCATTTAGGCTTAATGTGTTGGCGAATCAGGGAATTACAATCCCAATTCCTGGGTAATCGGTACCATGTGGCAACATCGGCCCAATCCGGCCCATCATGGCGGTTGTTTACTATTTTGTTTATTAAGCAGTTAATTTCGTTTGAGATTGTTTACAGGAAATAATCATTGTTTTATCACAAGAATTGGTGCAAAATTTTGTAGTGCGTGGTTGCGGTAGTACGTGGTGTCCTGGAAGTGACATAAGATTCCACGCGTAAGTGTTTATTTCGTGATTTCCGACATTGGATCATTGTAAACATTTTTCACATTTTTTACAGTAATTTCTTCCTAAAACGTTTTACCAGTAATTACACTTATCATTTTTAATGATACCTATGTCAAGAAATAAAGATTTTACATTGGTTTCATTGAATTTGAGCAATTTTATATTTTTTGTTTATTTAGAAAGAGCGAGTCTGCCCACAGAGAGCGAGATAGTGATACTTAGTTTGTGCTTCAAGTAGGTATTCGGAGTGTGGCCTCCATTTTTATCTGTAGCTTCATGGGTAGGAATAGTCAGTGGACGCATAGAGCAAAGTAATATGGAGTGGACGTATCTGTGGATAGACCATTACTATGGATCGGGCATGCCTAAAAATAAACGTGCTTGACTGGGTTTTTGCATGGTTGTATGAATTTACTAAGCTGATCGAGTTAATTGCTCACCACTTTTGCTGTTTTTAGGAAAAATAAATTATTCATTAATTATAATATTATTTTCCCTATTACAAATTTTACCGCGTTGGGATGCATGGGGCGAACGTAGGGAGGTGTGTGGGTTAATGCAAGGGGCAAAAGTTGCATTCAAGTGAGGTGCGCGTTAAATCGATAGTGTTGTATCGAGCACGTTTATTTTAAAGGTATGCCCGGTCCATACGTCAATGGTGACAATCAGCTGGCTGTCAGTCATGTCAAATCACTGGTGGGTGCCAGCATAGAGAAAAGTAATGCCAGTTTGCGACTTGTGAGGAGAAAAAAATTGGTAATTCCTCACCTCCAGTTCGCGAAATATGAATTGAATAAGAGCAATAATTTATTAGTAGCCATGGAAAACGAAGAAAGACTACAGCGGATAAAGGGTACCTATTACAAACAATTTTACTCTGTTAATTTCGCACGAATGTTCATTCATACTTATTTTATTTACTTTAATAACTAATTAAAATAATTGTTATAGCTGGGGCATTCTTAGCATCAATTGCTGGTATATCTGCAGTAGTTGGATTCAGCACTACCCTTTCAGCTGCTAAGAAAACTGATCCAAAATTTTTCAGTAAAGGTAAACAAGAAATGAATTATTGCCTATGTACTAAAATGAAAAAAATATCGTATACTATTTAGTTTTATTAATGTAAACAAGCCCTAGATTACAAAGTATTATCGTTTTTACCTAACAGGCTTACATGGTGGTGCGGATTTAGCAGATGCTGGTGCTATACTTGCACTAAGAGCCCTTGGTTGGGGCACTTTATATGCTATTGCAGGAACCTCGTGTATGTGCTATGGAATATACAAGTTATCTGGTGCTAAAAATGTATGTTTGTATGATTTTTCTCTTCAATAACATCATAACTCTCAAATTGCTATGAGAGCCTAGGTGCGGGTGGCTAAACTCTGTAACTGTATTCTATTTCAAAACTGATCCTTACCTCTTCATAGTGAGAAGTTAATAATTAGGCTGTACTGTCATGGCCTCAATTTGCTACCCGATCAATTTTATTACAGAGCTGTTCATAATTACATTATAATGTTTGTAGTATGTATTTATAATTGTTTATTTTAATTATTCAACTTGTTTCTAGCTCAAAGACTTCAGAATAAAAATGGGAAACTTATTACCTGCATTACCAAAGAACAATCCACCTCAATCAAGGACAGAATTTAGCGGATTAAATGATTTGCTAACTTATATATCAGAAGACTATGGAAAGAAGAAAGGCACATAATGAAAAGATAGTTTATTGTTGATGTGTATAAATATTAATAGTAAAATAAACAATTTTAGTTACTTAAATCTTGTTTTATCAGGTATTCTTCCTTATAAGCAGGGCCTGCATTGCAGCTAGCTTTGCAGGTATATATTGCTAATATTCCCCAGTCAATGCTGTTAAAATCAATTCCTACATTTATAAAATTGAGGAGTTGTGGCATTATCTGAAACAAAATAGGAATACATTGTCACTTTATTCAATAAAATCCATCACAATCATCCATGAAAAAAGAATGGTACTTTACTTGAAATTCAAATTGTCGCTCTCCATCACAAAACTGGCAGTTGGGTATTTGTATAACATTCTCTGTGTTTCCTGTTATCCACAATGGAGTTCCGCCTCTGTCATATCTTAGTACTTGCTCTGGGTGTCTCGCTATCCTTTTGTTAAACTTGTTAAAGACTTTATCTTCTGGCACTTTACCAGAGTATTGTTCTAGTTCATCTTCACTTATGTTACTAAGAGTTCCAGCCCGTTTTTCTTCCATCATTTTCCTCAATTTATCCATTTCTTTGTCTACATCAACATCAGAAACTTCTGCCTATAGAATTAATAATTTGCAATATTAGAATGCACCATTACTTAGTTCTACTACCATTTTAATATCTACTAATATTTTATATCACTACATTTAATATTTTTAAGAACATTTTTTTTTTCAAAACCTATTACCTCATCTTCTTCATCCACAGCCAAGTCCCATTCTTTAAACAATACTGACTTGCCGGCTTCTGTTACGGTGAAATAAGGTAACTTTATTGTTTCCTGTAAATAATAGGATTGGTGTTGTAAACAAAATTACACAATGTAAATACATAGTACCTACACTTCACTACTTGAAGTCGGACGACCTCTAGATGATAATAATGAATGAATGGGAGATCATACACTTACATTCTAAATGCCTTTGGCTGAAATGGTGATGATTTTAATTACCTGCTGTTGACATGTTCCTTTATGACCTTTTTGCCAATCTAACACTTGATGCTTCCTGCTACAGTAGTAGCTTTTCTTACACTTAGAACAGTGTGAAGGACCCTTTGCACCACATACATCACATAGTTTAGGATATTTATCCATGGGAAATTCCTGCAAGTACAGTAGTATCTTTTTTAATAAGTCACATCTATTTACAATTAATTTACAGTGAACTTTTACATTTCCTTAATGATTTTCAGTTGCTTTTTACTTACCTCTTCTATGTTCTCATCATATGGTTCAAATGCATAAAAATCATTTTTCCTCTCAAGTTGACAACGAAGTACTACAAAGTTTTCAGAACTATTCGTCCTACAACAAGATCCATTTCTGCATATGAAAATAAATATTGTGCGATGAAAAGTGTCATACCGTTCTTCATATGGTGCATAAATCTGTAAATATATTAATTACATTAATTAGCTTAGCTTCACTGAGCTTGGTCATAGGTACAAAAGTTAAAACAATAAAATTTTACCTGGCACAGAAAAATAAGAGGATCACTACATTTTTTACAAGTTAACTGAGAAGGATTGGGTAAATTTTGCAGATCTAACCAAGCCGGTTTGCCTCCTACTTTACTAGGAAAGAATTTTGGATGTAATTGCCAGCTGTTTTTTTCCTCTAAAAATCCAATATCTACTTTATTATTTTCTGCCATATCTATTGTACAACAAACACATATATAGTTGTAGATAATAAGTACTTGAACTATTATTTAAATCTCTAACCCACATTAAGAGAAAAATACTGTGAACAACATGATTCAATCAAAGTTAAACCAAAAATAAGATTTATAACCTCAAAATGCGCATGTTAGATTGTGTTAGATAAGCTGTCACAATTTTGACAGATGTTTTAAACTTTTTTTACAGCTCCTAGTAGGGACGGGGCATAGTGTTAATCGATTAGTACGGTAATCAATCGATTTAGTATTATTTGATTTTCGAATCGGTAGTTCACTGCTGCTATTTTGTGGCTCCACCTTGCTTCCCTAGTGGGAAACGAGGAACGAGGCGGCGGCGGCAGCTAGGGATGGGTAGTGGGTAAAAACCATGAAGCTAAAGATAAAAATGGAGGCCAGACTTAGAATACCTACTTGAAGCACAACCTATGTATCACTATCTCGCTCTCTGTGGGCAGGCTCTCTCTTTCTAAGTAGGGTAACCTTTTATTTATTTTTCTCAGGACGACAAAGACTGATTTACGTTTAAACAGTGTGTCTTGATAAAGTGCACTTAANGCACTCTCACAGCCGGACCCTTACATTCGCAACTATGCGAGAGCAAATCGCGGTAATAATTTTCCTGCAACTTCACGGCGGATATTTTCTTACAGAACCTGAATTATTTAAGGATAGTTTTGCTGTAAACTTTTGACTTGAGATATCCCCACAAGAAAAAGTCGCATGGTGTGAGATCTGATGACCGAGGCGGCTAGAAAAAATAGTCCTCAGTGTCTCCTTCGAGGTACTCTCCGTGTGTGGTGAGACACCTTCTTGCTGTGAAGCAAGACACATCGACCAGTGACTCATGGCGTATTTCAAATCCGCATTAGACTCTATTTTGAAACAATTAAACTTATTGAAAACTCTTTGATTTTATTTGTATTCAATTTTGAACTTGGAAAATTTTCGCTGGACACCCTTTACAATGTAACCTCACTTCAAAACTTCAAAAGAGTGTGACAATACCGCGTCCGTTCAAGTCTGATTGGAACCATGAGTGCATCAGATTCACTCCCGAAGATATCGGAACGATAAACGTCACCATCTTATTCACGTATTTCTGATATTCGGTTTGGCCGAAGCTTCGGCTGGTTTTTGGCCGAAAACGAAAATATGGCCGAATGTCCATTTTTTGGCCGAAAATGGCCGAAAACGAAAACGAATATTCGGTCGGTCACTAGTTTTTATTGGGTTTTTACCCGGGTGGAAACCCATCTCTAGCGGCAGCAGGCAGATATTTATCATCTCCATTTTTTTTTACACTGCACCATCACCACCAAACAGAGAGCAGAGTTATTTCTGCTCTCTGCCACCAAATTACCACCATCTAGTCCGATAGTTGTAATTAGCTTGTACTAGTATGGATGGGTACTACTACTAGACAACTTCGTTTGGCTATAATACCTATATCTTGCTGAGTTAATAAAACACATTTCTCCTCTCAGCTTTGGTGGAAAGGAATCGACTTGTTTGTATTTGGTAACAGGATCGAACACGAACTCCTGCAGTGAGATTAGGACCATTGCGTGCACTGTAGTGGGCAAGCCACTTGCCTATTATAAAAATTTAAATTAAATTTATTAATTCAATAAATAAAATGGTGCCAAAACTATATTTAAAAAAAGTGTGACTCGTGCCGTTTTCGAAATGACGAGTTCAATTATAGTCGGTTCGATTCCCGGGTGTAGCAAATCCTGAGCTTGAGTACTCAGGCGTTTCCACTTGAGCGACCAAATGAGCTGCTTTTCGCCTGACCATGCTCAAGTGGAAAGTTAACTAGAGCCACAGACTAGAGCAGTGGCGGCGTAGTAGCATGGCTTGGCACCCGGGGCGATCAATCCCCCCCCCCCCCCCTCGGGACTATGGCACCCCAGAATTTTCGGGTTACCGATTCGAAAATGAAAGATGTACGAATCAGCTATAATGATACCAAACGTACCGCCCCCCCCCTTACGCCGCTACTGAACTAGAGACTTCCCTGGCAAAGACGTAGCTTTGTAGCTGCTACCAAACCAACTCGCATATTGAATATTGGTGTGAAGGTAAACCTAGCTCTTTTATAACAGTCATAGGGGTTGTTGCCGAGGAGCATTAAGTCTTTTATGCTGCTTCCGACTTACGCATGTATCGCAGTCGCTACAAACGCGCGTCGACGTCGCGCAACGTTATGCACAAGCCCGAGTCATTTGCATTGATAGTGAAATGGGAAAGGAAAAAAAATGGCCAAATATCATATATTTTCACTTTATTTTGTCCTATACTTAATCAATAACTCGAACCAAACTAAAAAAAATCCTCTAATTCCTAAAGCCAAACTGAACTGCCCAACTACTTTGGCCACAAGGAATGATAAATCCTCGAAGATTTAAAAAAAAATTCTACATCTGTATTTTATTACAAGTAAAAAATCAAAATCAAAATTCATTTATTTGCTTGATAAGCGGTATAGCTTGATAGTTTTATAATTATTTTAGGTAATGTACAGAATAATCCTACTCCTATTAATATTATAGATGCGAAACTTTGGATGTTTGTTACTCTTTCACGCAAAAACTACTGAACGGATTTTGATGAAACCTTACAGTATTATTCTTTATAACCCAGAATAACATAGGCTATATTTATGACGATCTGTGACAAAATAAATTTCACGCGGGTGAAGCCGCGGGCAAAAGCTAGTGAAAAATAACTTTGGACATCATATTGAGTCAAATTGCTATATTTCCATATAATTCAATTAGGTTTTTTAAGTAAAAACATTAAAATTCGCGATATGGGTCACATACATGTTATACAGTGTAGAGAAATTATGGACAAAACAGTTCGTGTAAGTTATATTAGCTTCCAATAACAAAAAAATAGAAATATTAAAGATGAAAAACATGGTATTTTGTAAAGAAATTAAGACTTAGACTACGAGTATTTAACAAAATTTCTTGTGACCAAACTAGTTTAGCAAATCGGTTTGGCTTTAAGGAATAGAGGACAAAAAGTATAACAAAAAGAAAGATAGTCACGTATTTAATTTACTTTCAATTTGTTGAAGTTATTTATACATGAGTAAAATTTTAAAACTTTACATTATTTTATAAAATACAGTTTAATATACATTAATAGCATTAACTAGTATTTACAAGTCCATGAAACAACTATACACTTTTATTAAATTATTAATAATTTAATAGACATGGTATATGGACAGGCAACAGTTTTAACACTCATTCCGTTTGAATTTTTTGTTGGATTCATTCATAACATCATCAAGTTTGTTTACTCTTCTTGACTTCAGAAATGAACTACTATCACTTTCACTAACAGTTTGTCGAATACAGTTTAAGCTGGTGACATTTTGATTGTGAACACCATGTTTTTTATCACTCAAAGTTTTATTATGCTTATTAACTATTAACGTATTTTGAATGTCTTTCACCAATTCACTTGTGGGGAATTTTATTGGTATTAATATTTGATTTTCATTATCACCCTTTTTGATGAACTCTGGCTTTATTTGCACCATAGATCTATTTTCAGCATCACTTGACAGTCTGATAGTTTTCCGCAAATGGATCGTATCAGAGGAATCAGCAAAGTTACGCTTTACTAATATATCACCAGTAGATATTTGCTTCACAAATGTAAGTGTTGGCACTTCAGTTTCTTTTCCATCACTTTTATGAGATTTACTTGAACTTCCTTTATCACCATCTGATCCCTCATCTTGCTGATCTTCAGTTTCAATTAATTTACCTGAAAAATAATAATTGTTTAGAAGGTAAAATAATTATAAGAAAAAATTAACATATGGTAAATTAATTACATAAGATGAAATTCATACCATTTAACGTAGGGAATGTTATATCAGGTAAGGTCAAATGCGAATCTGGATTATATCTATGCATCAGGGCTTTAAGTAAATTTGAGATCTCTTCTCGCTTTCGCGTTACTATTATTTCATCAAACCAGTTAGCCAGCTGTTTAATGGGAAGAGCATAATCCATGATAGGGTCCTGCAAAAAAAAAATGTGCCAAAGATAAATATGTAATATGATTGCTAACAATAATTAGTAAACTTATTACTTGGGCATATAGTACAAACCTTGAAGAAGTGTTCAACATATTGCAACAAGTATAGGCCACAATCAGTGAAATTGTTTTGTTGGGGAATTTTAGGGCAGCTTCCTTTCATGTTATCTTTGTTAAAAACTTTACTTTGGGAAACCTGCAAAAAGAAGTAATAGGTATTTGTGTAATTATGAGTAATCAACAAACAAATAACAAAGAGAATAGTTCAAGAAAATTACAGACAATAATAAAAAAAGTACAGTCGCGGAATGAAAAGGTTCGTCACCTTAGTGTCGGTTTTCGCTTGTACTAGGTACTGTAAGAGTCAAACCTGCCAACCTAACAGTGCAAGAAACAGTGCTGCTAACATTTAAATAAATATGACGTTTGCTAACGAATACGGTTTTGCTTGTTTATTTTTCTATCCCATCAGTGCAATGCAATGATGACATTGACCAATTGACAATAGTTTTTTTTTATTTAAAAGAAATAATAATGGCAGGTTGAACCAACAAGAAGGTTTTAGTTTATCAATCATAATAATCTTCTTGACAAGATAAATTGTCAAACAACTTTGATCTGAATAATTTTGAACTTTACTGACGAACAGTTAAAGATTATTTTCTCTAACTCGAGATTATTCTGTAACATAGTTTCAAAAGGTAATATATGCTCGCGATTCGTTGAAGGAATCAATTTGAAAACTGACGAACCTTTTCATTCCGTGACTGTACATAGTGAAAGAATACAGTTTTTCTTTTACCTTTGCCTGAAACTCGCAAGTTAGATAGTCGCGTAATGTTGCGACTACTCTGGATCTTGAGGCACCAGCCAATGAGTCAAAAATAAGTATGCAAGGTCTGGGAACAAGGAAAAAAATTAGTTAATACACCAAATTCATTGCTTTTGTTTCATTAGCACAATTTGATTTTCAACAGAGGGTTTAGTATGAGTTTACATCCACTAGTGACTGTGTAAAAAAAAAGAAATTAAATGTGTCGG